TTTTTTTTTTTTTTTTTTTTTTTTTTTTTTTTTTTTTTTTTGCAGAGGTCAGGCTTTTAACCTTGTTGAAGGGAAGTTGTTTTAGATGTGGTACTCAAGGATTTCAGCTGGAAATAGCTAGTAAACATTCTGCTTCAGTACCTTTAACGGGTACTTCCTCTGCTCTGAGTTGAAAGAACCAATGTACTGCTGCTCAGTAAGGTTAAATCAGATGTTAATGTAGAGTCAAACCTTTGTAAAGTTGTCTACTGGATGGGAGGGCATATTCCAGGATGTGTTTGAATCTGATTCAAGTGAACATTTGTGTTGAGTGTCACCAATCTTTGTATTTGAAAAATGTCACAGGACCAGAGTATTAAAGTATTAATTGTGTAATATTTTACATCCTATGTTTTCTGATCTTTGGAAAGTCGATTGAAAACAAAAGCTGTTCTTAATCCTTTTGCTTATCTCTAATAATGAGGTGAGCTTCTCTGGTAGGTGGTGAATGAGTATATACTTGTTCCTTGTTACTCAGTGAAGTTAAATATTTTGTTCTCTGTTTTTTCTGTTTTCCATCAGGCTTCACAAGTAGTAGTCCTAATGATGTGATACAATTAACTGCAGGGTCTAGTATTGTATAAAAGAAATGAGAGGAAATGGGCCCTTGAAGGGCTCTAAGGCATGCACTCGTAGATGAAAATGTAATTTTAAACAATATTTTCCCCATGTACATTAATGGTAAAACTTCAGAGGTTCAATACCCGATATCTGAACAGTTCCTTTCTGTCAGTGGCAAAAATGTCCAACATGGTGTAGAAAACTTCTGTTGAAACCTGAAGTGGAATACTCAAAAACGTTCAGCTTTTATAGTGGTTTTTACAACCAGAGTCTTTTTGTTTCACATCAGCAAACTCTTTGCAGCCTCTCTGCAGTAGTAAGTGGACAGAAATTTGCCTTGAGGTGCAAACAAAGGCTGCAAAACCAAAGCAGGTGAGGTAGCCCAGTTAGAAACCGTGGGCAGTTGTCAGTGAGAACTCCAGATCATGATGAACAAACTCATCTGCTGCTGACGTGAGAAGTGAACCTCAGACCAAGATTTCCTCAAGGTTATTTAAAGGCAGCCTGGGACTGGTGTCTCACACACATACAGACAAGTATGCCCATGAAGTAAAGGTTTTGGGTGATAGTGATGACACTGAAAATGCACTTAAATGAGGCTGCTGTCATGTTGCCCAGTGCACAGCAGGGGACAGGATTCTCCATGATTGAGCTTTTTGTTTTCAGTGCTTTGAGTTTAAAAGATGGAACTGGGAGATTATAACTGGATTTGGTTGAAGGGTAGTGATTGTGCTTGAGTACAAGAGAAAAATGAGGAACAAAGGTTTTGCTGTGATGTGTGGATTTTGGGGGATATGTTTTGTTTTTCCAGAAATGGCTGGTAAATATGGATATTAAGACTGAAAATTTGGCTAAAGGCCCGGTCTTTCTGCAAAAGTTCTCTTGAACAATTGGCCCCTTTAAGGCCTTTTAAATAATTCTTAATGAAGACTCTTCGATCATAAATATTGTTGTTGAAAATCTTCACGAGCAGTTCCTGCAGTCATGTTGGGCAGTTGGCAAAATACTAATGGGATACCTTCTGTTTTTTTCCTCTGGATGCTGTATGTCTCATTATTAGTCCTGTTATGTTAACCGTGCTGTTGGCTGCTACATTACAAGTCTGATGTGCTGATCTAAAGGGAGTCTTAACAAAGACAGGGGAGGAGCTTCTGTTTCATATATTCAAAATCCTGTTGTATATCTGTGTCCCCCCGTCCCCCCCCCCCCCGAAAAATGTTCTGTGCCCTCATTAAAGGACACCTTGAGAACTGCACTACTTTATTTCACTCTGCTTTGGTTCAAGCTGTGCTAAAATGTGCATTAAAACATGGGAAGGAGGGAGGGGTAAGGGAAAAGTGTCTTTTCAGTGGTGACTGTGTTAAGCTTATGACTGTTCACTCTTTATATTAAATGTCAGCTCAATGAAGCCATGAGCAGAAAAGTGAACAAATTAAAGACAAATACTTGATTTTTTTTTTTTGTTTGTGAATGATGGTTAACTTACCAGTGATGTATCCTGTCAAGCAGACAAAGTAATTTCTGCAGTAAACAGTGTTATTGTTTTTAAGTGCAGTATTTTCAGGCATTGACATGTGAAAATAACTGAATAGCAAAACAGGTAGCATATGTTCATTCTTGACCTACACTCCAGTATGTAACATTTATGGTGATTGTCTTATTTGTATAAAACAAAGTTCTGTCAAATTAAGTGGAGAATTTTCATATAGAAGACTATATATTAGACTATATTCATCAGAAGAACGTATTAAGATTAAATAAATGATTAGAACAGTAATCAAACTGTCCTTTTTTTGTCTGGGAGCAAAAAAGTATAAGAAATATCTGCATGGAATGGTTGTTGTGAAACAATTGATTTGATTCCTTTCTGAAAACTAGTGGGTTTTGTTCACTTGAATCTTATCTGGTCTAAAGATCTCTGTTCCCTCCAGTGAGTGGGTTTGGTTTTGTTGCTGTGTTTGGTCACATGTCTACTGTAAAAAACAAAACAAACAAACCAACCAAAACCTTGATGTAAAATCTTTCTTCCCAGAGTGCTTAATAACAGTAAGTACATTAACAGTGCAGACTGCAGTAAACTGGAGTAGCAGTGGGATGTGGTTGGGGCTAAGCAGCCCACACCTGTATTACATAGGGGCAGGAGTTGTAAAAAGTTGATGTCACTGTAAATAGTACTCAAACTGCTAAATAACATCACTTAAGCTTTAAATGTATGCTTCAGATTCTTCTCTAAAACTTGCTAAAACAGAAAAAAAATACACTATGAGCTTTTATGCATTCATACAGCTTTTTCTTAAATGATTTGCAAAAAAGTAATAAAGAATTCTCTTGACTGGCAGCAAGTAGAAATTGCTTCTGAGTGAACCTGTGTCCTGTTAAAAGCGTATGGGCTCTGATTTCTTGCACAGAAATGCCCTCAAATTTCGGTGTTATCCAAAAGCCATTATGTGTCTGCGTTAGTAATGTTTCTAGGGTGCATGTAGAAACCTCACAATTAGCTTTTGGTTCATGGAGCACCTTCCTTGCTTTCCAACAGCACTCATCTATGGATGATGAGCACAAGTGCTGCGGCCTACCTTCAGAGGAAAGGGAATGGGTCAGTTCTCCCAGTGAAGTAGTGGCCTATTCCACAGCTCCTTACTTTAACTAGTGAACCTAACAGACTATTTTCAGTTAAAATAATTGGCCAAATAATGAAAAGTTAATTTAATTCCTTCTACTTTATTTGAAAGTCACATTTCTGTTACTGTACAGTACATGGGCCAGTTTTTAGCCTCTGGTTAAATATATCACCCTGAACAAGGCCAGTCTCTGACATGGTCTTCCTTCCCGAACTTCACACTGCCCATTCTTTCTTTCTTTCTTTCTTCTCTGCACCCCACCCTCCTGATCAGGAATAATTTATCTCTCAAGTTCACTGATAGTCCAGGCAGCTGCTCAGAAGCCTGACTGCAGGTCTATCCTGGATAATCAGTACAAGAGAACCCAACAATGAGCAGTCACTATGAAAGTATTAAATTGTGATCAGTGTTTAATTAAAAAAAAAAAAAAACAACAAACCAACAACAAAACAACAGTATCTGAGGCCTGGCTAGTGTACGCAACTGTCAAAGTTACAAACACAACCACTGAATACAGTTATGTCTGTAGTGAGCCTTTTTCCAGGGTCATCTGGGTCTTGGCATGGTAGTTGGAGTTCCTTCTTAAGAAGCTGAAGTGGCCGACAGCAGCCGCATGCTGTGGTGACCATCATGTTCTCAACATTCAGCCTGTTTGGAAGAGAGGGAGAATGAGCTGGCATTTGGATACAGCATTTTAGTCTTCAGGCTTTTCAAATATTTGCACTTTCTTTTTTTTTCCCTGTGGTGGGAGGTTCAGAGGAAAGAGCACGACCCTCAGCTTAATGGTTCTGTCAACTAGAGAACTACAGACAGTGCAGCAAGTGACTGACATTCTCACAATGGGTGCTGCAAGAGCTCAAGTGTACTGAGCTGCTGCCTTCCTTTTTAAAAGAGGGTGTTCTCATCATCTCTTGGGCCTCAGACCTCACTGAAAAACTAATAAGATTTGATTTCCCAGAAGTTTGCACTTCTGAACATTGTCATGTAACTGTGGATCTAATCCTTTTAAAGCTGTGCTTTGGACTACTTAAAGTTTGCAAAAGGTCTCTGGTGTGGCCTGTTAACACAAATGCTAAATTGTGCTGTTCCCTTTTCATGGTTCATGGAGGAAGGAAAATCCCTCTCTTCCTCTGAGCAGTTAGCACCAGAATTTAAGCTGGTGACTGCACAGTAATATCAGTTCTGGGTTGTAAGGTCACTTAGCAAAGCTATAGTAGACTTGCACGTATCTTGCTGACTTCATGGTAATAAAGCACAGGTAGGTAAAGTGACTGCTTGAACAGGCAGGTGAGGCTTTGAGTCTCTCACGATGATACTGCTGTTTTCTTATGCTGTTGATTCCTGACAGTGTTCAGCCTGCTGCTGGACTTGGTTCTGTCTGTGTCAGTGGGCAGCAGTATAAAGGTAGGCTAGAATTCAGCTATGGGAACAAGAGACTTAAAAAAAATATTTTTTTTTTTTTAAATCTCTTTTGAAAGGAAGAAAAGTTTGCTTGGTTGCAGTTAAAGCTGGGTTTTAACTCCAACTTTTTAAATTATTGTGACAAACCTTACCTCTAAAAATTTTCCTCTGGGGTTCACAGCCATTTTGAATATTCTCAGGATACAAAGTCAGTTTTTAGAATGCTAGGGGACACCTGAGCTTGCTTTGAAAGGGGATAGCTTTTAGATTCAGGATTAATTTAAATTAGTTATTGCAAAGGAAAAACTCTTCATTGCTTTCCTATTCTTGAACACTGTATTGGCTTGGATTGTTGGGGATTTTAATTTTTTCTCCCAAATAACTGTGAACTAATACTGCTACACTGTATTGAAGCCTTGATTTTCTGTTGAATACTCTCCTGTTGGGCAAGCAGAACTGCACAGGCTCAGACAGCACACTTGCAATTATAAAATATACCTGAACTACATTAATAGGAGAATGTTATGAAACAACTGAAGTGAAATTATGTACCTTAGATGAAATTACTTATTTTACTGTCTTAGCTATTTGAAAATGGGTATTTGTAGTCTAAACAACCTTTTCTATCTTTAAAAAGCAAACAAACAAAACCAAATTCCCAACAATCAAAACAACAAAATAGCTCCCCAAACCTATAGCGTTGATGTCTGTTTATTAAAAAAAAAAAAACAGCCAAACAAACAAAAAAACTCAACAAAAACTTAGGGAAGTGAGATGACATTCCTTGTTTAGAATGTAAATCTCCATACAATAAATGACCTTATGAACGTTGGTTTTAGTTATCTGCTTTATATGGCACCACAGTATATTACTGGGTGGATTCTAACCACATTCTAACCCTGATTTTAAGGAGCAGTAGTTCATAAAATACCACTCCTTACAGACGACCAAGTAAGAAAAACAACTTCAGTACTCTGCAGCCTCTCAGCTATCCTTACTTTGTTGAAGATGGACATGATCCTTCACATCGGCTTAAAGTGACATTTGCGGAACAGCCTTTGTAAGTTATTTTTTCTTCATATTCAACTTCTCTACAGTGGTCTGTAAAATGTAAAAAAAAAAGTTATGGCAGAAATTTATCCTGGTCTTCTTGAGTGACCTTTGTTAGATGCCAGAAGCCTCCATACTTGGTTGCATGGAAAACCATTCTTACTGCATGAGATAATTAAGAAATCACAAGTGAGTAACACAGCAAGAGGAGATTTTAAACTGGGTGCTGAAGGTGCATGAGACACTTACCCTGGAGGACAACTAAGAACAGAGAGGTTGGTGGAATTACAAATGAGCAAAAAAAATCCTGTTAAGAACATAGTGCAAATTCAATCCAGCAGGAAAAAACTAATTCTCTACTGAGAACACAAAGATGCATGTAAAACAACCAACTGTCTCATTCTGGTGGAGTTATTTCTGGTTCTCAGACATTGTAGTAGATTTTACTTACTGGAAAAATGCTTAGCTTACTCATTTTAAGGATGTATTTTCTGTAGGCAGACGTAAGTTCACAACTTTCCTTACAAGACAGAATGCCTAATGGTACATAGCAGGTAATGATTACATGTACCAATCTCATATTTTCTCCTGACTTGAAGCACGACACTTAAGCACTGTATGAAGCTAAAAGCTGACAGAAAACATAGGTTTTCCAAGAAGTTTAAACATAGTGTTTGAAGTTTATTTGAAGGAGAACAAAGATGTTGAATACTACAAAGGCCATTCATGCACCACTCACACGTGCTCCTGCACAAGGATCTCTTGAGCACATTCAGGTTCTGTGGTTAAAGAAAGGTTACAGATTAAACCAGTTAATACTGTAGTATATGTTTGGGATTTTCTTAACTGGAAAATAAAACAACTAATAACTGGACAGTAGACTAAGACTGGAAGGAGCAAAGTCAGTAATGTCAGGTTGGGAAGATAATGTTTGGAAGCACTTCCCTTAGGAAAAGAATGTGAACAAAATCCAAAGCAGGCTCTTAAACCCTAACTATACTGTGGAAAATCCTTCTGCTTATGAGAGCTATGCTTGAATTCCCATTCTGTGAGGTGAAAATCATGAGAATGAAGGGCAAGCAGGGTCAAATCCTGCCTCCTTGTGTCAAACTGTCATTTCCCAGTGCTCGAGCAGTCAGTCAGGTTGAGGCTCTTTTCTGCTAAAACTGAAATGAGCCTCTTTGGTACTGCAGCACTTGTGTGACAGCAGGATGAAGGACAGACTTGCATTTGATCATTTCTCTGCAAGTAGGTAATTCTGCCATGCCTTGTGGCTGAGCTGACTGACCTGGCCAAGCTGCACTCTGACAGTGTTAATGGTGGAAATGGAGATGGAAGGTTCAGCTACAGGTAACTGTACCCACCGTTCTATATTGATTCTCGCATCACTCTTTGAGAATAGTAGTTAACCATAAATACAGTTTTCTTAAATGACTATTTGGAACCCTTTGTATAAATCAGTGTTCTGGATTAAGACTGATGTCTTGGTTGAATGGAGCATGGTATTCTGCTTTGTTCATTTTTCCTTCCTGTTAGAGCCAAGTTCCTGGTTCAGTGGATCTGACTGTAATGACAAAATGAAGGACTCTGTGTGAGGACTCCCAACTAAGGAAGTAGGATATTCATCTGTGGGAAAGTTTTGAACACGTGCTTCAAAAAGATACAAATACTTATAATCTCATTATTAAGGAGAGTAGAAAAGGGGCAGGCCTACTAGGATGCCTCATATCCCTCCTGATTCTTGAAAAAGATAAGGCAAGTGAAGAATGTAAACTTTTGCAAGTGATACTCTGCTTTCTTTAGGAATTAAATACACAGAAAAGAGAACAAGCAGTGAAGGCAGCATATGACAACAGAGAAGGCAATAGGGAACAAGGCAGTATGATGTGGCTAAAGTACACATTGCACATAGTTTCTCCTTTGTATGTTAAAAGCTCCCAAAAGAGAATGCAGAGTGGCTCAAACTGTAAACAGTAGTTAAACAAACAGTAGTTAAAACAAATCAACACCCAAAAAGAAACCATGCGGTAAAAGTGCATTCATAGACTGAATAGTGCGTGTGTCACTGGTTTATTTTTAGGAGGTGTTAAACCATATCCTAGAAAGCACTGATTAAAAACTGCCTGTTTCTAAATAAGAGTAGAAACTAGGCCTCTGCTACTTATACAGGGTACAGTTACAATCTTAGACACCTCTTGTGCATCCTCACCATGTTCCTGACTCCTATACTGGAGATCCTAAAGTAGGACAGTTCCATTTCAAAGCAGTAGACAGATATTGCTTTGTGTGCATCACTTTACATGAAATGGTGTGGAAATTATAGAAAGTGGTATTCCTTCAATCAAAAAATATTAGGTGATCAATTATGCACAGGAACCAAAAAAAACCATCTCTATCTTAAACACTGTGAAAACAGTATCCAGCAGAAGAGATAACAAAAATGCTGAACTGTGCAGGGTATATGAGAGCTAACAAGAGGGCTGCAGGGTAAGTCAAAAGATACCTTCTATTTGGACAAGCTGTCTTTCTTACAGTGCTTTGGAAGATCAGGAAAGAGAGGTTCTGTGACTCTCCTGATCGACATCCTGTCAGACTCTTTAACTCATGCTTTTTAATGTCTACAGTATTGTATAGCAGGGAACCGGCTTATGAAATCTAAGACATCAGACAACTACTCTACAAAAATATAATTGCATAAGGGGCAAAAAGAAAAGATGGAGCCATTGGGTACAAATGGTATCGTAAAGAATATGTAAAGAAAAAATTCATGCATTCATTAAAATAAAAAAAAAGTTTTAAAAGCATGATACAGGAAATGCTATGGATATACATTACCATGTGGAACTGTCACTGGCACAATAGAAGACAAGGACGTTGAAAGTCGAGAGGTGAAAGAAGGAGATGATGATGTGCGGGCAGTGGTTAATGTTGTGGTTCGCAAGGTGCTTCTTTCAATCGACTCTGTAGAAGCAGTAGTGATCACTAGGGGAGTGAATGTCGTTGTTGTAGATAAAACAGTCGGGACCAACAGTGGAGTGGATTTGGCAGAGATACTGGTAGGAATGGCTGGTGAAGATGTTTTGCCATATGGAGACAATGTGGTGTTTTGGAAAGAAGAATACGGAGTACTCTCAGCAGACCTAAATGTGGAAGTAGCGAGGGGTGTAGGTGTAGGCATTGTGCTGACAGTTGAGGCCAAAGAAGAGAATGTGGATGAGGCAGTGGATGGCAGCCGGGTGCTGAGTGAGCTGCTGGGGGCAGGCGAAGAGCTGGGATTTGGAGATGATGTTGCCAGAGGGAGTTCTGTGCTGCTTGGTGGGCTGGTCCCTGTGGAGACAGAGGTCTTGGAGGTGCTGCTGATGGAGGTGGAGGCCGTGGTCTTGTGTGTGGTCAGAGGTGGCTCAATGTGTGGCACTGTTGACTTGTGGGTGAAGGCTGCTAGGAGAAAAGCACAGGTCAGTTGAGGATGAGGGAAAGGAGGTGGGCAGAAGCCTTTGGCTAAGGCAATGAGCAAGAAAGCAGCCCTATATTGCACGGTGTATTCCTGAGAAAAGAGGGAGGTTTGGACTTCTGTCTCCATCCATAAGCCTCCACATCACACTTCGACTCAGTCATGGCCCCTCGGTGTGCTAGGCAATGGTGGGGTGACCCTGGCTGGATGCAAAGTGCCCACCCAGCCACTTGCTCACTCCCCCTCTTCAGGCATTGTGGAGAGAACTGCAAATACCAAAGCAAGAACAGCCAAGCGTGCCTGGATCAAGACATTTTTAGAAGCAAAGACAGTAAAGGAAAAACAAAGCAAGATCCACCCATCAGATGCAAAGGCAGTCACTCCTTCCCACCACTGGCCAATGCCCAGCCAGTCTCCAAGCAATGGCTACTTTTGAAAAACTGCCTTGCCCCTCCATTGCACTGCTCAGCATGACTTTCTGTGACAGGGAGTGTCTCCTTGGCCACTGGCTTTGCATTATGCTGCTGTGTCCCTGAAGGACCTCATGGCCACTCCTTGCCCACTCCCAGGCTGGCAGGAGGAGAAACACGGAAGGCCTGGATGCTGTGCTAGCACTCCTCAACAATCACTAAAGCACTTGTGAATCATCAACACTGGCTCAGACCTGCAGCTAAAACATAGCACCAGGAACCCTGCTAGGAACAGAAATTGGCTCTAGCCCAAGCAGAGTCATTGTCAGGCCCAGGACTGCACCAAGAACCAGGCTGGCAGTGGGAATGGAGGGCTGACAACTGAAACAAGTGCACAAGTACGGTGTGGTCCTTGGATGGAATGCTAGAGGCAGAGATGGACGGATGGACAAATGAAAGGAAGGAAGAGAGCTGGGAATATTAGGTAGAAGCAGCAGGAAGGTGGTTGTGAGCCTTACCAGGCTGTGAGGAGCTCAGCCATGTTGAAGATACAGTGGAAGAAGCAGAAGGAGCAGGGGATGGCACTGTGCTGGTTTTGGCTGTGGTGGGTGCAGAGGACTCTGTTGTAGGAGACTCTTGTGGAGCACTTGTCATGGTGGAAGAAGGCATGGGCCTCAGGCTCGTAGGTGTAGGCCTGGGTCTGGTGCTTGGAGCTGCTGTGGAATAGAGTGTGGAAGTGGGAGCAGATGGCAGCCGGGTGCTGAGTGGGCTGCTGGGGGCAGGTGGAGAGCTGGGATTTGGAGATGTTGTTGCCAGAGGGAGTTCTGTGCTGCTTGGTGGACTGATCTCTGTGGAGACAGAGGCCTTGGAGGTGCTGCTGATGGAGGTGGAGGCTGTGGTCTTGTGTGTGGTCAGAGGTGGCTCAATGTGTGGCTCGGTTGACTTTTTATGGGTGAAGGCTGTTGGGAGGAACATACAGGTTCAATGAGGGTGAGAGCAAAGGGGAAGGTAAAGCAGGTGGGCACAAGTCAATGATGGGATACAAGCAAAGAGTGCAGTGCTGTCCTGCACTGATTATTTCTGGAACAGGGAGGACTGGGACTGTGGGTCCTGTCCACAAGTTGCTGTCTGCTTACTCCACTGAAAAGGGGGGAAATGGACAGAGTGCCTTCTTACAGGCAAGATCCCTCTGTCTCTTCCTGGCAGAGTATCCTTTCCATATGAACATGTATATTCCTCCAAGGAATAGGCAAGACATACAGACTGTAGCCCCTGAGACTGACTGGCCAGGTTACACTGGAGAGTCGAGTGCCCCATGGCCATAGCAAAGGACAGCAACCACAGTGCTGATGTAAGAAGGACTGGGAATGGAGAGCAAAAACTGAAACAACAGTCTAAGGCACGTGCACTGCTAGAAATGACGGGAAAAGGGAGAGCAGGCAGAAGCAGCAGACAGGTAGGAGGAGCCTTACCAGGCTGTGAGGAGCTCAGCCATGTTGAAAACACAGTGGAGGAGGCAGAAGGAGCAGGCGATGGCACTGTGCTGGTTTTGGCTGTGGTGGGTGCAGAGGACTCTGTTGTAGGAGACTCCTGTGGAGCACTTGCCCTTGGGGACGAGGGTTTGGGCCTCAGGGTTGTGGGTGTAGGCCTGGGGCTGGTGCTTGGAGCTGCTGTGGAATAGAGTGTGGAAGTGGGAGCAGATGGCAGCCGGGTGCTGAGTGGGCTGCTGGGGGCAGGCGGAGAGCTGGGATTTGGAGATGATGTTGCCAGAGGGAGTTCTGTGCTGCTTGGTGGACTGGTCCCTGTGGAGACAGAGGTCTTGGAGGTGCTGCTGATGGAGGTGGAGGCTGTGGTCTTGTGTGTGGTCAGAGGTGGCTCAATGTGTGGCTCAGTCGACTTTTTATGGGTGAAGGCTGTTGGGAGGAAAGCACAGGTCAGTTGAAGATGAGGGCAGAAGGCAAGGGCAAATGAGGTGAGCAGAAGTCTTGGACTAAAGTGTTGGGCAAGAAAAGGAGCCCTGTATCACACTGAGTCTCTTTGGTCAAGATTATGGCTTCTGGCTCCTTCCTGGAGCCTCCGTGTCCTGCTTAGATCCTGTTATGGCCAAAGTGTGTGCGAGGTGATGGTGTAGTGACCTGACTGGATGCAAAGTTCCTACCCAGCCACTCGCTCA